AAAAAAAAAAAAAAAAAAAAAAAAAAAAAAATCCATAAATTTGTGTGTGTTAGACATGAGGTTCTACCTCCGTGGCTGTGTTTGAAAAAAAAGAAAACTTCTAAAATTTAATCTAGGAAAAGTGATTCTTCTAGCTTTTAGCTAAAGAGATTGCACACTAATTAAATGGAAGTGCCCATCAGGATTAAAGCAAGATGTTCCATGAAAGGAAAAGCCTTTAATAATGCAGAAAGCAGAAAATATATTAAAATATCTTTAGAATAAACAGTTATAAGAAAGAAGATTTTTTTCACCTAGGTCATTTTATTAATCCTAATTAAGAATCTTTTAAAAATAAAAATCCAAAAAGCCTTGAGCAAGGGGCAGCTTCAATCCCATGGCAGAATCAAGCACTTTTGAAGCACTTCAGCTAAGATCTTTCCGTGTAGCACTTGTTCTAAGAAATCTTTCTATTTGCTGCCTCTGTCTCCAACACACATTCCAAATTTTATGCATAGCTCCTAAACATGAATGATTTGTCATCTTCTCTCCTATATTCAAAAGTCACAAAATGTGAAATATCATTTTGCTTTTTCTAAAAAAAAACAAGAGAAGTACAATTTCTGACGATAGCTAGGCCTATGGAACAGCAAATGTTTTAGAACTTAGATGATGGTTTCAGAGACATACCCAATAGTATTTTCCTCTGTAAACTATCTATTCTTAGAATATGCTGAATTTTTTAAAATAAAAAAATACATAGAATCTGTAATTATCTTAATATAACTATTTCAGTGAAGAAAATAAAGCCCTAACTTACTTAGTTGGAACTTTCATGAGAGCTCAACATTTTCATATTGTTTTTCAAGATGTACTTCCTGAATTCATTTCTATCTACACTTTAACACATGTTCTAAAGGAAAACAAGCCACACTGCTCACTTCCAGAGTTTTGATTTCCTTGAATTACAAATAGTCTCTTAAAAGTTTCAAGACTAATTTGTCTGGAATGTGCAAGGCCCTAGGTTCAATACCGACCCCCACAAAAATGAGACAAAATAAAACTCTTATCACTACATTAGTTTCAAAAGGGTTGGCCTAGATTAGGAGGCAACATGAGAGGCAAAGAAACATTTCTGTTTTTGTGTACTTTGATGCTTCTTTGGATATAAGCCACTCACTTGTCTGTCATCACTTCCTTTCCTTTTCCCACTCATTCTGCCTGATTTCTTCCAAGACGCTGTGTTTCTTTACCATTTACTGAGTTCTGCGTATAAAAATGAAATATGTGTCAGAAATTTGTAAGCAATAAATATCGAGTATAATGCTTGGAACAGTTTGAAAGAGAAAGCTTTCTTCAGAATGGACTACTATTAAGGAACTATTTCTCTAGTATTCAACTCTAACTTAACTTTAACGCTTTACTCGATCATGGAAAAGTAATTTTCTGAAGAACTAGCTACTCTCTGGGGCCTTCGATGAGGCCCTCAGTTGTCTCATCTGAAGTAGGATCCAAATGTTAGGACAAGTCAAAGCACATGTTGAGTTTATAGGACTGCTTCCTTTTAATATTCTTTATCAAGATTATTTGCCAGCAGATAAGGCCTTTGAGAGGCTGTGGTTAGAAACTAGCACTGTACCAAAATACTTAACGGAGTCCCCTATCCCTTTGCTTAGAAAGCAACATATTGAATGCCACACTAATTGTAAATTACCTTCAAAGTTGCTAGAATGTAAGTTACTAGAGGAAAGATATGTCCACCAGCATACACCAAGAGAGCAGAGCAATGTTTTGCACATTACAACTCGATAAATATTTGTTGATTGAATAAAGTTAGAAGATAGGGTTCAGCATTAGAGATTTGTGTATGGGAAATGGGAACAAAGAGGCATTTGCAATCAACTGTGTAAAGAGATGTCATGGGCCCTGTTATGGTTTGGGTTGAGAATGTCCCCCAAAGGCCTCATGTGCTCATAGATGGCACTGGAAGGGGACTGAGTCATGGAGACGACCTATCTGGCTTGCTGTTAGGAGGTGGGCTAGGTAGGAAGAGATGGGTCACTGAGGGTGTGGCCTGGCATGGTGCATCTCTCCCTCTCTGACCCCTCCCTTGTCTCTGTTTCTCGCTGCCTTGAGATGAGCAGTTTTGCCCTGCTCAGCCAGTCCACCATGCTGTTGCTGTGTTTCAGCCCACTTAATATGGACTGAAAGTTCTGGAGCCAAACAAACCTCTTTTCCTTCAAGTCAGGTATTGCGTCTCAGTGATGAGGAAAGTAGCCCCTAACAGATATCAATCACTTGAGCAGGTTTACATTTCAGGAGGGTTAGATCTTCCTTTTAAATGTAACTGACTCATAGGGATGCTGGCTGGCAAAGGAATATAGAAGCAAAAGCAATAATATTTTGATCTGCACATCTGAACATTTTGATTCTAAAGTTCTATTAATGATAATGGCTTTTCCCCAATTTGCAGAAAATAATTGAGTTAGTGAAGACTATATTTCTAATTTTGAGTTTGTCTCTGTGGAAAATCAGCAGCATGGCCATAAGGAATCTTGAAATTTAGACTAAATTCATCACTGGGAAATTGACTGTCCGAACTTTGACAAGTTGGGGTCTCTCTGTATCTCAATTTAATAATCTGTAAGATGGGTTTAAAGCCATCGATTCCACCCTCCTCCAGGGTTCTATAAAAACCCACAAACTGAGATGACTGTGATATAAAATGATAAAACTGTCAAGGTAACCAAGATATATAAGCAAGAAAGAATAGTGTGTTGGACCTGTGTATTGACATAAGAATTTACTTTTTTTTTTTTGGTACCCGGGATTGAACTCGGGTCCTTGCGCTTGCAAGGCAGGCCACCGAACCGCTAAGCTAAATCCCCAGCCCAAGAACTTATTTTCATTGCTACTCTAGAACAACTCAGGGAACTAGATCATTTTGATCATGTCTTCTGGAAACCCGGGGATCTCTGCCTTTGGCAGCTGTGATGGAACTCACAGTTTTCTGGTGTTGAAGAAGGCAGCTCTGGTTCAATATCAGAGTAGTGACTACTCTTCAAGATAAGTCATCTCCTCAGCTCCAGTGAACCATGGCCACAGTGAGCAAAGCTCCTTGCAATAAAGAGTAAATGAGAACGATGCATAAGAGATTTGTAATCATGATAAAAATGCATATTTGCATATTAGTTTTCTGCAGATACAAGAATTCAATCAGGTTTTCTAATTCAGATCTAGTCCTTTTGTCATTATTCCAGAATTAGACTTGCTGTTAGATGAAATTTATGATCATTCCATGTACACAGAGAAAATAACTGTGCTGTTATGGCGTATTAATTGGTATATGCTTCATTAAAATATCGTCCTTAAGACCATACTCCTCCTGTAATCCCAGCACTTGGAGGTGAAGGCAGGAAGATTGCCATGAGTTCAAAGCCAGCCTGTGCTACTTAGTGAGTTCAAGGCCTGAATTAATAGTGAGACCCTATCTCAAACAAACAAACAAACAAACAAAACAAAGCAAGACCACCCCCTTGGGAACTAATTATAGTTCAAGAGATAGTATATAGTATTCTTTGTACATGGGCTGATGGGTTTTATGGTCAACCTTAATGCTCAGGTCTATATATACATTATCTGTAGCTGCGCTGCAGAGGTCTCCATGACGGAGACCATGTACACTGCCCACCCTGTAAAGACCTGGGCTGGGCTGACAGTGTCACTTCTGTTGCCTCCCCTGCCTTCTCTTGTCCTCCTTGGCAGCTGCCCTCCCTCTCTGCCTCCCTCTTTTGGTCCCTTGCTCCCTGCAGGGAAGGTCTCCTAATTGCCAGCTTCCTGGCTCTTGCCTTTCTCCTGGTAGTTCATACCTATATACATAAAAGTTAAAAAGAAAAGAAAAACAGAATAGTTTTTTTGGGGGTAAGAAGTTAGAAGTTAGTTCTTATGAACTGGGGTGGGCTAGGGGGAAGCAGGAAGCAGATTTTAACTGAGGACATTACTGGTGTACCCCACTCCTCCAAACAAATTTTCATGGCTTTGCTTGTGGGTGAAGGTGCAAAATCCACATTTAATATTTTAAAAATATGGTAAAGTACACGTAACAAAAATTACCATTTTAACCATCTGTGGGTGTACAGTTCAGTGACATTTAGTACATTTACATAGTTGTGTAACCACTCCTACCACTATCCATCAGAATTCTTCATCTTTCCAAACTGAAACTCTGTACCTGTTAGTTGATAATTTTCCATTTGCCTTCCTCTCAGGCCCTAGAAATACATAACCTACTTTATGTCTCTATGATTTTGGCTACCATGAAATGGTATACAATATTTGTCCTTTTGTGCCTGATGTATTTCATTTAGAATAATGTGCATAAGGTTCATTTATAGTGTAGCATGTGTCAGAATTTCATTCCTTTTTACTACTGAATAATAGTTCACTATAAGTACAGAATATTACATATTTTGTTTATTCATCTGTCCGTGGGCTTTCGGATTATTCCTCTCAGGCTATTGTGAAGGGTGCTGCTATGAATATTGATACACAATTATCCGTTGGAGTTCATACTTTCAATTTTTGGTGGTATTTTTGGTCCTGAATCATATGGTAATTTTATGCTTAGTCCTCTGAAGAACTGCCTGCCATATTATTTTGCCCAGAGGCTGTATACACAAGGGTTCCAATACCTCCACATTCTCACCACACTTGCTACTTTCTGTTTTCAATAATAACCATCATAGTGGGTATGAAATGGTATTTTCTTGTAGTTTTGGTTTGCATTTCCTAATGATTAGTGATATCGAGCATCCTAATGCTGTTTCTGTTGGTATTTTTTAAGTATACTGAATGGTGGATTTTGTTGTGAAAATTTCATGCATGCACATCACAGACTTTGATGAAAGTTTATTGGCACATTTTAGGTAGACAGTATAATTACATTCATCATTGGGATCTTGTACTTCACATGACTCATCTTAGTTCTTATTTTTTCCATTCCCCAGCCCTCCCTTCACCCCCTCCACCCTTCCCTATTTACAAAGATATTCTTTCCATGTTTTTCCTTTTCACGTATTTTTTTCTTTTCCCTCTTTACCTTTCCCCTACCCTCTCCCACTTCCTCTAGACCTTTTCTTCCTATTACACAATAGCGAGTATACATTTTTGATCCTTATTTAGACTTTTAGTTTTTCACACCAGAGAAACTATTCAGTAATTACACATGCATGACTTATTAATTTCACTTAAGAGCTCGGTCTCGATGTGCATCCAATTAGCTATAAATATCGCCAGTTTCTCATTCTGTATGGCTGAATAGTACTCCATTTTATAGTAAAAAAAAAAAAAAAACCCACCTCCTCTTTATCCAGTCTCCAGTTGATGGCCAATTGGGCTGTTTCCAAATTTTATCTATTACAAACTGTGCTGTTATAAACATGGATGAGCATATATTTCTGTGGTATGATTCTTTTAATGCTCTTGGGAAGGCAGCCAGCAGAGGAATTCTCCTCCTCTTATTCTCCTTTACCTTCTCACCATCCTCTTCCTCTTCTTTCATAGTCTCCTTTCTGCTCTCACGTTGTTTCCCCACCTCCAAATCCATACATGAGAGAAAACACTTTTGAGGCTTATTTTACTTAACGTGACACTCTTCGGCTCCATCCATTTTTCTGCAAATGATATGAGTTCATTTTTTATGCCTGAATAATATTCCACTGTATACATGAACCTCATTTTCTTTACACATTTTCTCACTGGTGAGCACTAAGGATGATTCCATAACTGGGCTGTCACGAATAGTGAGGCTGTAATAATATGGGTGTGATGGTATGCTGACTCTGATTCCTTCAGGTGAATATCAGGGAATGGAATAGCTGGGTCATATGGTAGTTCCAATTTTAGCTTTTTGAAGAACCTCTGTACTAACTTCCCTAGTGCATGTACTAATTTACATTCCTACCAGCAGTGTAGAAGGGTTCCCTTTTCTCTCCGTCCTTGTCAGCATTTGATTTTTTTTTTCTATTTTTGATGATGGTGATTATGGCTGGGGAGAAATGGAATGTCAATGTTGTTTTGATTTGCATTTTCCCGATAGCTAAAGATGATGAGCATTTTTTCATGTAATTATTGGCCATTTATTCTTCCTTTGAGAAGTGCCTGCTTAGTTCTTTTGCTCATTTATTTGTTGGATTACTTGTTCTCTTGGTGGTTTTTTGTTGTTGTTTAGTTTTTTGTTGTTGTTGTTTTTTGTTTTTTGAGACAGGGTCTCACTATGTAATTGAGACTGAACTGGAACTCACTATGTAGCCCAGGCTGGTCTCGAACTCACAGCAATTCTCCTGCCTCAGCCTCCTGAGTGCTGGGATTACAGGAGTGTGCCACCATGCCTGGCTGTTTTTTTTGTTGTTGTTGTTGTTGTTGTTGTTGTTGTTGTTTTTTGGAGTATTTTATATATTCTAGATATTAATCTTCTGTCTGAAAAGTAGCTGACAAGGATTTTTTTCTCCCATTCTGTAGGCTTTTTCACTTTGTTGGCTGTTTCCTTTGCCATGCAGAAGACTTTTGATTTAGTGCAATCCCACTTGTCAATTTTTACTATCATCTCCTGAGCTATTGAGTCCTATTCAGAATGCCATTGCTTATGTCGGCTTTGTGAAGTATTTTCCTCTAGTAATTTCAAAGTTTCAGGTCTTCTAATTAGGTCTTTTATCAACTTTGAGTTGCATTTTGTACAAGCTGAGATAGGGATCTAGTTTCAATCATCTACATATGGATAGTTAGTTTCCCAGCACCATTTGTTGAGATGGTTTTGTCTCCAACACATATTTTTGTCACCTTTGTCAAGAATTAGATGGTTGTAGTTGTGTGGGTTTGTTTCTGCATCCTCTATTCTATTCCTTTAGTGTATGTGTCTGTTTTTATGCCAATGCCATGTTGTTATGGTGGCTCTATTGTATATTTTAAATCAGGTATTGTGATGCCTGCAGAATTCCTCTTTGTGCTCAGAATTGCTTTGGGATCTTTTGGGTTTCCATATGCATTTTAAGACTTCAGCTTTTAGCCCTGTAAAGAATGACATTAGCATTTTGATGGGAATTATGCTGAATATATAGATTGCTTTTGGTCAAATAGCCATTTTAACAATATTAATTCTGCCCATCAATGAATATAAGTGAACTTTCCATCTTCTAATGTTTTCTTCGATCTTTTTAATTTTCATTGTAGAGGTCTTTTATCTCCTTGGTTGGGTTTATTTCTGTTTTTTAAAATTTTTTTTGAGGCTATTGTGAATTGAGTTGTTTTACTGATTTATTTATTTATTTATTTTTGGTAAGGGGGATCGAATTTAGGACCTTGTGCTTATAAGGCAGAGACAGATGGCAGCACCACTGAGCTAAATCCCTGGTCCTATTTTACTGATTTCTTTCTTAGCAAGTTCATTTTTGACATATAGCGAAGTAAGCAAAATCCAAATTTTTTATGTTTTTTTTTTTTTTTTTTTTTTTTATCTTGATACATCACTGAATATGTTTATCAGTCCTGGGAGACTTCTGGTGGATCCTTCAGCCTTTTCTAGGTATACAATCATATCATCTGCTAAGAGGGATAATTTGACTTCCTCCTTTCCTATTTGCATCCCTTTATTTCTTTCTCTTGGATGATCACTCTGGCTAAAGTTTCTAGTACTATATTGAATAAGAGTGTTGAGAGTGAACATCTTTGTCTTGCTTCTGATTTTAGAGAACATGCTTTTACCTCTTCCTCATTTAGTATGATGTTGGAGTTTTGAATTCACTAAATTTAGCTGGAGAATCAGGGCTCTGCAGCAGAGCTTCACATCACTCATGAGTCTGTACATACCTTTTTGCTGAGCTTGCCACTCTGCAACTGCAACTTCCTGTTGCTGTTCTTCTTCCTGACACCGCTTAGTTCAACCCAGTGGAACCTAGAGGAGAGGAAGGCTGTCTTAGCCACTTTCCAGTCACTGGGCCAACATATCTGACACTCGCAATTTAAAGGAAGAGGAGTCTGTTTTGGCTGGCACTGTCAGTCCATGATTGACTGGCTCCAAGGCAAAAACAGAATGGCAGAGGAGCACGGTGGCAGGACAGATACTCAACCTGTGACAGCCAGGAAGCAGAGAGAGAGAGAGAGAGAAAAGGGGAGATCCTGGGACAAGAATGCCCCTTCTTGTCACACCCCCAGAGACGCACCTCCAACCAGGCCCCACCACCTCAGGGCACATTCAGCTATGAACTCAGCAACGGATGAGCCCACTGAGGAGCACTGCCCTCCCCTGATGCCCTCGCCTTTCACACACGTGAGAATTTGGGGAGACATTTTAGATCCAAACCCTCACGAGGACTTTTGATGTAGACTAGATCAGCATCTCAAGGTGTAGAAAAGGGTGGGTTGTAAGGAGATTGTATATGGAAGGGAAAATGGAAACTCAGTTCCATTCCAGTGTTTTCATGGCTGCTCCATCTTGACCACAATATATGCGTGACCATTATGGGCTCATAGTAAATAACAAATATTTTTTAATTTAACCTTACTTCTTGCCTAATGTCTTAAAGCGAAAGTTGAGTTAAACTTGTGAACTACCTATTTTCCTACAGTTCCAGATAGCAGCCTTTTCAGTGGATACAAGTTGAACATCATCATCCCGCATTAGCAATAAATGGATAATTACTGAAGCTGGATGATGGGTACATAGTCTCTCTACTTTTTTTGGGGGGGTATTGGGGGTTGAACCCAGGACCTCAGAAATGCTGAGCACATGCTCTGCCTCTGGACTACACCTCCAACCCTACTTTTGTATGTGTTTGAAATTTCCCATGATAAAAAATTGACTCAAATAAAAATATCAGGCCCTAACACTGACCTTGTGATGGAAGAGACCACCCAGGGACTTATTTACTCATCTGTTTTGTGCACTGAGTAATTAAATTGGGGTCACTGGGTAATTGTTTTTGGATTTTAAAAAATTATGCAACTAATTCTTCAGTGATCAGTGCTTAAGGCATTTTCTGTGTCTATGACATACAAACATATTCTAGGTCATTTTATATAGTCATTTTAACTTATGTTTATTTGATGAGAATACAATATAACAGTTAAATAACATTTAAATGGCTCATATAATCGTACTGAAAATTTTTCCCGTGTTACTGAGATTGATGGCAAATTTTACTTCCAGATACATAAAGTACTAGAAAAGTAGCCAAAAAAAGAGACATGGACTCAACATGCTGCCAAAAACAATAATAGAACTTTAAATGTTAAACAGCTTTTAAAAAGCACTCTTCTCTGGAATGAAAGGCATTTACTCAAGTTGTCATTCCCCCTCCTCCTGCATCTTGGGCCGCCTTTCTGGCTGACTTCCTGGTTGCTGGTGGGCCGTCCCACTGAGTCAGCCGGCTGCAGCTGCTTGGTAAGAATTTGCGGAGCGGATGGAAAACAAGATGGAGCGTGGATCCAAAGACTGAGCACTTTGGGAAATTTTAAATTGGAAAGAAAAAGTGAGCAAAAGTCCTGATGAGTTGCCACTCTGAGGATAAATTTATTGCCCTTAATCTCTCTGTAGGCTTCATAAAATGAACTCGATCGAGTAAAAATATGTCTGTTTGTTTTGTATTCTTGCTAAAAAATGAGAAGACTGAGGACTGGCCTCTGGTTGGTGCTACAGTCTTCCAGGCACAAGTCACTTCCTGTGACAAGTGTTCTAAAAGTTGTGTAAGGGGGGACTGGCAAGAGTATCAGGAAATTTCATTCTGAGCCATCATTCTAAGTCTGTTCATGTGTTCAGAGGAGACTGGCACAGGGATCCAAACACGGTAGGGAGGTTTTGGTCTCCCTGGTCCAACTGGTTCAGCCTGCATCTTCAAGGTCAATCTGTGCTGACCATGTTAAACAGAAGCTTGCTCAGTGCTTCCCTCTAGGAAATGTTCCTGAAGTGAGTCCACGTGAGTTTCTCTAATTTTATGAGCAGGCATTTAGTAGTTTTGGTTCCAAGCAGTCAACACTAACACTTGAATTTTGAAATGTTAATAATAAAAAATTAAATAGGATAATGCGCTCAAAGCAGGTAGCACTGTGTCCAGCACAATGTAAAAGTCAATAAACGTTAGATCTTACTTATGATTATCCTAGCCTTGCATTCTAAGTTATTCATTCACTCAGCAGAGAATTATTGAGAACCTACTGTGTGTCAAGCACTGACTTTGGTTAGTAGGGATGTTATATCTGCAAGTCAGGCAAGATGCCTGCTCTCATCAAATGCTTCTGGAGAGAAGACAGACAACTGCTAAACTCAAAAATTCCACTGTAAATAAAGCAAGGTGATGAACATAACACGGGGCAGAGGGGAATGGAATGGGGTGAGAAGTTGACACTAAATAGAGTAGCCAAGGAAAGCTTCTCCTAGAATGAGGATTAGATGATAGCATAGATCCTGCTTTGGGAAGGTTCAGAGGTAGAGAATCCCAGGCAAAGGAGCAGCAGGAGCAAAGGCCCTGAGGTGGATCCCATGTCAATATTGAGCTGCATTACCACACGGATGCAAAGCCACATTCTGCTCTGCTGTCATTCAATAGCTTCAGTTTTCAAGGCATCCATATGCTCTACCTGCAGTCAGAATAAACTGCCACCGGGAGAGCTATAGCACTTTGGTGAAAACAAACTCATTTGTACAAGCTGAGCAGAATTTTGTTTGTTTGTGTGATTGTTTTGTTTTTGGAGACAGGCTGGCCTTGAATTCATTATATAGCTCAGGCTGACCTCCAGCCCTCAGGCTCACAGGTGCTGAAAATACAGATGTGCCACTATATGCAGCAAAATTTTATTTTAATCAAGCATGAAATCTAGCTCCTTGAGTCAGTTTTGCTTGATGTCACTACTGCACATTTCATTAGGAGTGTCCAGTTTAGATTTTGGGGCTAGGGTCCTAATTCATTGATTCAGGGATTCAAGAACCAGAGTAAGAGCCAGGATGATTCCTGCTCCACCGATAACTTGCTGCCCATTTATTGCTATGACTTCATTCGACTGAAAAACAAGAGGAATGATTTTGAGCAGTGCATCTACAACTTTCATGTGCCTCCCATGCCCTGGGAGTTTTGTTAAAACTTTGGTTGTGAGTTTGCATTTCTAGCCAGGTCTTCAGTGATGCTGATGCTGCCTACTGCAACCCATACCTTGAGCAGCAAGAATTCAATTATCTGTAATGTGCCTTCCAGCTGTAAATCTAGGACTGTGGACTCTTGGCTTATCACTTGTATTTCAAGTTCTCGATCTCCTCTTACTCATGCAAAGCTCCATGATGGCCAAGACACATATGACCTTCCTGCAGTACTTAACCTGTGCTGCCTTCTGGGTTGTCCAACCCTTGCAAATCGAGGTCCGCCATCTGCTACCGACACCTACGCATCCTAGGGCAGAACTGGGGAAACTCCTTACCACTTATCAAATCTGATAAGACTGAAACAAGGACACTTCTTCAATTTCATAAGAGTGCCAACATTCAGGCCAGAATAGAATGGTTTACCAGAGTAAGCAAAAATAAAGGAGAACATCATTTTATTTGGTGTTGATTAATGAAGTCATAGGGTAAGGTACTTCTTAAATCATACAAAATTCCACATGGTTCCAGAAGTTCAATGAAAGACATTATTGCAACTTTTACCTTAATTCTCCCTCCTGGAATTTACCTAGTGAGAGTTAATAGGCAGATAACAAAGATTCTTACAGATGGGAAGTCCTTCAATTCTTCCCAGCAAAAAGCTCTTGCCATTTTTTTTTAACCATACCAAGCCTTTTTAATGGGAAGATTGGCCAGTCTGTCTCTGAACAAAGGAGAAAAAGCAACATGGCAGAACAGGGAGCTTCTTTTATAGTACTGGGGTAGGGCTTATAGGAGCTGGAGTGGAGTGAGTGATGTAGTGGCTAGGGATTGGGGGAGCTTGTGACATTACTACTTAGGGTCATTTTAAGGCGAGGGAAATCTACCATTCCAGGCTTTTGCTTAATGGTTGTTGGGTAAAGGTCTCTTCTTCTGGAGCTGCTTCAAGCTGACACAGGGGTGAAAGTTGGGGTTAAGTCTGGATCTGATGGGGGTAGTGGTAGGTGAGGTCTTTTTCCCTCTGCTGCAGTGGCTGATACCCTGCCATGACAAGCTCTGTGACTGTCTGGTTGGTAAATGCCCTCATGCCCCCTGCAAGAAATTTTGAAAACAGCAAAACAGACAGAGATCTATCGTGATTAAAAGACATATACAAGCCAGTGGGCCCAACAGGGGAAGTAGCCAAGGCATAATTTTTGGAAGCCGGGGATAGTTTTGGTAGATTCCTCAAGAATTCTATTGTTTCTTTTGCTGCTGTAATTCTTTAGCCTTTGCTTTAACAATCCCTGACTGGTTAACAAAATAACAGCATCTTTACCTAGCACCTGGCCTCTTCCCCCTTGGACTGCTATCAGCATGTCAAGGGCCCTCCTATTTGGTAATGGAACTGCTGCTGGAGAATTTATTTGATCTTCTATTGTATTTAAGGACTGGCTTATTTTATCCATATCTTCTGAAATCTCTATGGACAGGGCCTGATAGAAATGTGTGGATGTAGAAATGCCTACAATCCCCAGTGAGAACCCCTGCTCCCATTAAGAAGGGGACTAGAAGGGGAACTGCCCTTTTGCTGATTGTGTTCTGTGGGAGAGCTTGTTTAGACATCTGGGCTTCTGTATGGGAGGGATAAGGAAGAATATGTAACAGAAAACGTCAGACTGAGGCATCGGAGTACCTCTTGATTACACAGGCTGATCAGAAGCTCTTCTGAGATAAAGAGGAAGCAAACAAGGCAAGTGATGCTGTCATTTTGCCCTGTGAATGTCAGGTTAGTGGTTTGTATAGGGAATGGGAGACCTGAAGGGTACCAGAACTGTGGA